TGTTGGCTGTGAGCCAGCCGCGAGCATGGTCGCGCGCCGTGTTTTGATTACGTCATCACAACAACACGTTGGCTTACCAACGTAACCCTGTTCCCTGACATTCGGTGATATTTTTTCGGTGCTAGAACCCTTTCGGCCAAAAGGGCCTTTTTAACCATTTTCGGCCGATAATTTTCGGTGGCCGAATATTCGGTGCATCCCTACTGATAATCACTGTTTGCATTTAGGTGCCAGATGCCATCAAGTCCCAGTACCAGAACCCACCCCCCATGCTGCTTCCTGCAGGTGTGCGTCAGTTGGAGCTGGTCTGTAGCGGTGTGCCAGCCCATCCCAGCTCAAAGCACCTGACCTCAGAGGCTGACCAACAGGAGGTAAGCAGACAACAAAACAATTTTATTTTTGATAAGTGACCTGGTGAATCACAGTCTGGCCTGGTCATTTTTAAGAGATTGTCACTGCTTATAGAGATCTGCAGGAATGAGTCCTGAAACTTGAAATGAGTTAAACTTTTACCTCTTTCTGGTTCCCTTGTCTCTAAATCAACCGTTTTTGAACACGTTTTCAGTTTAGATGTCTGAAAAAAGGTCTGTGCTTAACACAAGCTTGTGAGATTTGAAGGTTTTGTTCTACAACATCAGTAAATACCCCACACATTTCTGAAGCTTCAATGTGGCATTGAAAATGCGGTGGCTAACAAGTAGCTAAATGGTTGAGTTGAAGTTATGCTACCATGATGTAGCTTTTATAGCATTCATGTTGGCTCTTTCCAACAAGGCAATTACAAAGTTGACTTTTTTTTTTTAATGGTGATTGCTTGTCTTACCAACACACACTTTGACACTCATCAGAAGAAGGATGGTAAACCAGATGCATCATATTAGCTTAAACATGATATTGTTGTTAGGACAGGATTGATGTTTGCTTCTTGTGTTGTAACACATGGTTTTCTGCTGTTGAACAGTGGCTTCAGGATGTCATCGCCCTCCAGTGCAGCATCATGCGACACCTCTCTATAAAGCAGAAGGCTCTGTCCGCGGCCCCCACCCTGTCATCAGCAACACCTTCAGCAGAGCGGGTGTCTGAGCAAAAGGCCCCATCACGTGTTACACCAGAGGAAACCAAAACCCATGGAAGTACTCCACCACCAGCCCCCTGCTCTAAACCCTGCGGTACATCGAATGACCCCCAGGGGGCATCCCTGTCAGAGGTCTGTAAATGTTGCATGAAACCATGTCAGAACTGTAGGAAAGCCAACGGGCCTCTAGCAGAGCCTCCCAAAGCTAATGGACCTTTAGAATGTATCAGCAGCTCAGACTCCTGCAGGCAGGCTGAGCTGCAGCATAAACTGAAGCCCGGCGCAACCCCCCCAGACCCGGCCCCTTCCCTTGGGCTGTTGAACCACATAGGATCTGAAACGGTTAAACAGGAGCCTGATGGCACTACGGAGGCCTGCGCTCAGAAAACAACCCCCACCGCCCTGACGATATGGCCCCACGGGGTCCAGCAGAACCACAGGAGCCAGGCGGAGCAGCAGCGTGGGGAGGGTACGAAGAGCGACCAGAAACCCACCTACTCCATCACCAGCAAAGACGCTCCACCTAAAGGCAGCCAGGAGCATGAGCCAACCAAGCTGGGGTTTACATCGCCCTCTCCAGGTACAGTAGGCTTCTGCTGATTGGGCCCCACAATGCATTTGAGCTTCGATAGCAGTCATAACAATAAACGACATTAAACAGTTTAGTAGCCCTAACTATTTACCACAACTAAGAGGTGTTCATTCATTGATTTCACTATAGTCTGCAAAATATAAAACTGAAACAACAGTTACCTCTTAAGATTTGATAATTACTACTCAGTGTTTCCCCTACCATTGTCTTGGCACACTTTTTTAAAATTAATTTAAATAAAACAAAAAAATGTGTATATATATATAATAGCACCAAATTGCAACTGAAGTAATCTATCTAGGGTCACTTTTCACATTGAACATGTGTTCTTTTATTAAATAAACTAAACGCTTTCATTTTAAGTTGTGAGTTTAGTGTTTTTGACCCTAAGAAACACAGATGCATTAATCAATAACAATAATCCACAGCTCCTCTCTCTGCTCCAGAGGATTAAAAAAATATGTGCTAAGAACAATGCTAAGAACACTGAAGTAGTAATTACTCAGAACTTAATAGGTAACTGTGTTTCCTGCTAGTTTTATATCTTGCAACTATGAGATCAAATGAATGAAACCTCTTAGTTAGTCGGTAATAGTTAAACTATAATAATAATAATAATAATTGTGTAGCAGAGTTTCCATTTGCAGGTAATTACTGGACTATGACTGGATATGCTGATGTTTAAAACTCAGTTACTGGGGCTCTTTTTTATATTGCTTCAGTTTATAATCGTAACAGATCAAAAAGTTGAGATTCATTTTTCAATAAATGATGCGCTTCCACAAACAAAATAATTATTACATTCAAAGAAACTACTTGTAGTAGATAAAGTACATTATTCAAAAGTTTACATTAACTTTGAATAATAACACGGGAGAAACGGATCCTCTTTTTTCCCCTCTCCCTCCCTCTCTCCTGACAGCCCGTCAGTTTCTCATGCAGCTCGCTAAACAAAGGGCGGAGCTTCAGGTGATCCTGCAGAGCTGCGTGTCTCTGTCAGACCCAGCAGCTGATCTGATCTCTCTCTCTCTCTCGTCCGGTTATACTTCATTCGCGTTTATGTCCATATCGATTAGATGCAGCTCTCCTGATCGGCCTTTATAGAGAGCACCGATCAAACTATTAAGAGTGAATATCGGCCGATAATAACCAGCGGCCAATCGCGATCGATTGGCCGCTGGTTATTATCGGCCGATATTCACTCTTAATAGTTTGATCGGTGCTCTCTATAAAGGCCGATCAGGAGAGCTGCATCTAATCGATATGGNATGGCCCTGTCTCAGGTCGACTATTTTCATTTCCTCGAGGAGCGAGGAGCGAGGACCGATAATGGAGGAGCGATAATCGAGGAACCACCGGTCCATCCTCCGATGAAATCCTCAGATACTCGCCCCGCCCCCTTACTGTGTATCGCTCACTGATTGGACGATGCAGTGCATGCACTGATGTCATGTTTCTTGACATGAGAGCCGTTTCCCAGCGGAGTGAAGAAAATACATGAACCTCACGAGAGTCACTCCTCAGTTTAAACTGTGTTTTGTTTCAATTCATGTATCATTTAGTTACAAATATTTGATATATCTGAACAACAAAGTGGTCAAAAATCATTTTATGATTTTCATGATCGCTTTTTTCGTTTTATATTTTCATTTATTGTCATTTCCATTCAGTCAGTCATTAAGTGCTATTCAAATGTTAATGTGCTACATATCCACACAAACAAAAAAAGTGTGTAATCCAATGAATGTTAATCTAACTGGGTTTTGATAGATAACATCTCTTTTTCTTCTCTGAATTATTTTATTTATTTTGTGCACTCTAATCAATATGAATCAAACTATTGTTCGTTTATACATTTTAAGAATGGCTTTTATCTTTTTAGAGAACGAGTTCTTATTTGATTTGATTTATTGGGGTCTACAACAGATGATACAAATGTTTGTGTCAGTAAATGTGTGGTGGGGGTGTTTGTGAAAATAACGGGGACAGAGCTGCTGTCAGACGAACAGCTGTGCGGCGTCATCACAAATGGACGTCGCTTCACGTGACGCTCCGGAGGAAAGGACGTCCCATTGCTCTTAAAACTCATTTCCCTGCTTCTCGTGGTTTCCTTGCGTCCCTCCATGGTTCCCTGGAGGGAGGGACTAAACACAGGGAAACGACGCAAGTGAGGGAAGCAAGGATTTAATTTAACCGACTTGAGACGGGGCCCATGTCACACTGTTTGACATGCCTCAGGCTTCTTTACTATTTTTTTTGGCTTATATAATTAAGTATTAATATAATTATTCAGGAAACACACCTCAACCCAGAAATGAGTTGGCATAACTTCCCGTTCACTTGTCTAAAAAGATATTCTTGTTTTTGTTTCGATGCCTGAAATAATGTGTGGTTAACACAAGCTTACAAGATTGTTTAAATGTTGTTCTACAACATGAAATGTGTCAGTTAATACTCCACTGGTGAGCATCTGAGGCTTTTACGTGTCTTTATAATGGCAGTTGCCAACTAGTGTCTGAATGAGAGTAGATAAACATCAAGGCAAACATTAGCAGCCTTTAGCTTAGCATTGTTCACATGTGATCATGCAAACGTGTATAGATTACGTTAGCTATTTAATAAATAAACGTATTATTATTATTATTATTATTTATTCCTTGAAATTGCATTTATAATTCAACTAGAACAAAAGTGGTGTTAATACGAAGGACTATCCCTCTGAACCTCATGTGTAGGTATCATAAACATGTTTGTCACAGATCCAGGATTCCAAAATCCAATGGAAAAATCATTTGTCACAATCCTATCTTCAGGGTCAGCCTACAACAATACGTAACACCTGATCAGAGAAATACAAATGTTCCAGAGCTCTGATACCCGACATCTCCATGTGTGTTTCACCTGCGCCCCTGATGCTGAAATTAAGGTGTTGAAAAGCAAAAACATTACAGCGAACACAAATCCGTTGAGATTGTTCTTAGAAAATCTTTCTGTATTTACACGTTTGAACAGACAAGCAAGAACAGACAAAGAGTGCTTATATACAGAGCTGCACAAGATGTTAAAATGAGTGCTAAAACGATACAGTATTTACAGATGTATTACAACGGAAAGTACAGACTAAGAACGAGCTTTATCACAAAACTTCCGGTACTCTACACAGTATCACAAATTCCATGAACTGTACAGTTAAAAACCAAAAAATGGTAAATGTACAAGAAATCCAACGTTTCTCCAATTGAGAGGCATTGAACTATATATATTTACATTATATATACATATTATAGTGTATAAGCATGTATGTTTTCATACATATATAGCTACCTATGGTGCAAAAGCAGCAAAATAAATCAGAATGTATGGAATTCAATACTACAAAAAAAGGTTTTGTACTAAATAGGCTGACTGACAAAATAATGTTACACCATACATGACCAATATACTGGCAAAAGAAAGATTGAGCGTAAATAAAGCTCAAAGTCCTAACGGTCTGAAGTGAACAGAGGGTTACTGGTCAGTCATTCAAAAAAAGGAAGAGATTGTCAATAATACTTCAAGTCATGCAAAGATATAAACCATTAAAAATGAAAAAATAAACTTTTCCCTGTTGACCAACCAGCTGTGCAGCTTTCCCTTCATTGTGACTCGGCAGGTGCAAAACAAAAAGGAGGGAGGGAAGGAGGGACTTCCTGTGCAGGTTATGGAATAGAGTTGGGGCGCAGTGTGGGCACTTGGTGGGGGGGGGCATTCTCAGTGTCGGTCTCATCCTGGCTGGACGGGCTGCTCACTGTGGCAGTGTTGGGTGGGGGGGGTGTGAAGGTTGTGGTGGAGGAGGTGGGAGTTATGGTACTGCTGCTGCTGGTGAAGCTGGCTGCAGGGGGGGTCTGCTCCTCTTTGGGCTGCTTGCTGGCGAACTCTGTGATGCTGAAGAGGAACTGGAGGCAGCCCAGCTTGATGTAGCTGCCGTGGTGCAGCAGCGCCGTGCCCTCCCACCCCGCACCGCTGCCTCCTATCAGGCTGGAGCTGCTTGCCTTGCAGCTGCACGACAGCTCGCCCCCGCCCTGAGGCTGGCTGCTCATCACTCCTCCGGCCGGGAACAACCCCACCACGGAGCTGGGACCCTCGTCATCCTCGCGCTTCTTACTGCGACCTGCAGCAGAACCCAAGGAGACGTTTGGAAACGTGTTCACACTATACTACAGTTATACAGGGAAAAACAACAACATTTTCCTCTGAGCCCCCACTGGCTGGGCTCACTTAAATTCCGCATCTTTCTGTATTTTTTTTCACGGCAGATAGTACAACCTAACTATCGGTGCAGGAAATGGTCCTAAAACCCACAGATGAGCATTTTGGCTGGTTAGCTTGTCTGAAAGTCAGTAGCTTTTTGGAATGACTTTTTTGTTGGATTCCCAAAATGAGGTCTGTGATTAAAACAAGATTTACCCGTTTTGTTTTCACAAAATAAAATATGTCAGCAAATACCCCTGCTGTTAATAACTGAAGCTGCTGTGTGTTGACAAAAGTAGTTGCTAACAAGTGACTCATTTAGATTACTAATCGCCTCACCCCGGAACATTAGCGCCTTTAGCTTTGTGGTGTTGAGGTGAAATCATGTGGCTGTATTTCATTTATAGCATTACGTCAGCTATTCACTGATGGCAATTGGAGAACTTATTTTCTGCAATCTCACAAATTCAATGCTAAAACCCATTACTTTTACTCAAGGGAGCCCTTTCAGTGCTGACTTATGGGGCCTACAAAATGACATCCTAACTACACCACTATACTCTCCCTTTTGGTTTGGATTTAAATGTAGCATCCAGATCCAGATGATAATGCTAAGAACAGCTACCAACCAAATAATAACGTTAGCATGATCAACACTGTTAGTTTGACTTATTGTTTCGATTCTATCCCTGGTGCCTCGCCAAAATATACATTCTATATTATAAACAACTGGGAGAGCTTTCACAATTTGAGAGTGTTAGAAAGTGTTCTACGTACGTATGATGCCTTGCACTTTAGCCACCAGGCCGCTGGGTGGAGACGGCGAGGCCTTCTCAGAGAAGTCACAGGAGTAGAGGACGTTGTCCACCGTGGTGCCGTGCTCGCTGTAGTTGAGCAGCTCGTAGTGCTTGGTATTCTAAAAAAGAAACAAACCATTTGTACCGTGTTAAGTAGGAATGGTGAATATGGTCCAGTACACCAATGTAATTGTTCAACAGTTTACTTACCTCGTCATAGAAAATACAAGCGTGCTTCCCCGATATGTAGTTGCAATGCCCGTAGTTGGTAAGGCACACATCCATGTCAGCACCTTAAAAAACCATCAGGGAGGTTACCAAATACATTCTGCAAGTTTGTCTATTTCATATTAATTATATTGTTGTCTAATTTTCCCGTAGTCTTTGTTGAACCTCTTCCATTCTCTTCAAACATTCCCATGTCACCCTTGGGCTGAACGGCTGGTGACATATAAATGTGCAAGCTGTAACAAGTACTCCTTTACTCAGAAAGGTTTCACAAGCCCGCAAAGCAAAATGCTGGGAACCCGTGATCAAAATACAAACAGCTTTTAACTTTACTTGATAAAATATGTGGAAATTGGTAATATTCAGCAACGAAAATAAAAAAGAAGCAAGGATTGGAGGCCTGTTTCCAGTGTTTTGTGCTATAGACACAGTACAGTTGGTATCAAAGTTCCTGCTCTAAATAAAAAGGATCCTGAGAACTTGTGTTGTGATCTGATGAAGTAAAAACAAAAACTGATTATCGTCTTACCTGATCCTATGTATAACGTCCTATAGCACATGTTGACAGCTCCTCCTTTTCCTGTGAGGGGGTAGAACACCGCTCTGGCCTGCACCTTCTTCTGGCCTGATAGGAAGAAGTTCACAAATACTTTCAAGAAAAGTCCTTTAGACCCTTACACTCTTATTATCAAGCGGTGAGATTTGAAAAACACATTATATTTCATTGTCAGAGGTTAGCGGTTTACCTCGGGGTCAGGGGGATGGGGTTGGGGTTTTGGGGGCAGCCGTGATGGCTGGGGGGGGCGGAGTGCTGGGAACTTTGGGGGGGAAGAGCTGCTGGATCCTCTGCCAGGCCAGGAGCTTGATCATCTCTGCGTCCAGTTTGTCCAGCTCAATCCCTACACACACCACACACACACACACACAATCATTAGAGGGTACTTCTACTGCCTCATCATGACATGACATTTACACAGTACCACAATGTACTGTCATTTATTTTCATTAGAGTGAAATCTGTGAGTGAGCACTTACCTCTTTCGTCATCCTTTCCATCTTTCATGCAGCTGGACAGTAGTGAGCCCATCAGCCCAGCTGCAGCCTTTATGTCTGCAGAAGAGAAACAGTGTGCAGTCAAACAGCTGACCCTGATCTGGAGCATTGCTCATGGACATCTGGCTGCATGGGAACTTTAGGCTCAGAACTCTTTATTTATCTCAGTGGAATGTCGGGAAAGTTACTCCATTATTGAAAATATATAAGATACATTCTAAAATTCTAAATATGTAAATAAAAGTAGTTGAGGTAATAATGGGCAATAGAAAGTATGAGAAATTAACAAATATTCGTATAAACATAATAATCTTTAGTGTTAACAATGTACTTCAACATGTATATATTGCAAGGTAGACGGTGGTTTTTTAGTATTATTATGATATTAATGCTGATTGCTGCCTCACTGCTCTGCCTCACACTGTAATTGCTGCCAGTGACCAGAAGAGGGAGCTGTTAAGCTGTGGAACATGCTGGCATAATGTTGCAAGGAAAAAGTGGTGAGTGTACATTGAATACAGATCAGGGTTTCCGTTAGCTGGTAATTACCGTTTTTTTAGCTGGTAACATTTATTAAAAACCGGTAAATTCAAAACCTGCCGGTCAAAATGTCTGGTAATAATTAGGGATGCTCCGAGCGCCATCTAGGTCGATCTGCAACACCATCAGCAGCGCGGATGATCTGAGCATAAGCCATCACGTGTTACCCAGAGAAACCAAGAAGCCATGCGATGAGTACTCCACCATCAGCCCCTGCTAACTGCGGTACATCGAATGACCAGAGGCATCCCTGTCAGAGGTCTGTAAACTGTGCATGAACACCATGGTCCAGACTGTAGGAAAGCAACCTGGTTCTAGCAGAGCTGCCATGCTAATTGACGTTTAGCATTTATCAGCAGCTCAGACTGCTGCAGGCAGGACTGAGCTGCCAGCATAAACTAAGACGGCGCAACCCCCCAGACCCGTTTCTTCCTGTGTTGTTGAACACATAGGATCTGAAACGGTTTAAACAATAGCCTGATGGCCTACGGAGGCTGGCTCACAAGTAGTTTCCCTGACGATATGGTCCCACGGGTACATCGAATTATAGTAGTCAGTCGGAGCAGCAGCGTGGGATGTTCACGAAGAGCGAAGAAACTGATCTCAATTCATGATCAGCTAAGACGCTCACCTGAAGGCACTAGGAAAAAGAAGCCAACCGAGCTGAGGTTTACATCCGCTATCCAGTTACATAGTCTGTTTTGCTATTGGGCCCACAATGCATTTGAGTCTTCGATTAGCAGCATAACTTATAAACTTATTATGAACAGTGTAGTAGTTTAACTATTACCGACTAACTAAGAGGTTTCATTCATTTGATCTCATAGTTGCAAGATATAAAACTAGCAGGAAACACAGTTACCTATTAAGTTCTGAGTAATTACTACTTCAGTGTTCTTAGCATTGTTCTTAGCACATCTTTTTTAAATTAACTCTAAATCAGAGAAAAAGATGTGTATTATATATATATTGAGCATCAATGCACTGAAGTTATCTATAGGGTCAAATTTCACATTGATAATTACTACTCAGTGTTTCCCCTACCATTGTCTTGGCACACTTTTTTAAAATTAATTTAAATAAAACAAAAAAATGTGTATATATATATAATAGCACCAAATTGCAACTGAAGTAATCTATCTAGGGTCACTTTTCACATTGAACATGTGTTCTTTTATTAAATAAACTAAACGCTTTCATTTTAAGTTGTGAGTTTAGTGTTTTTGACCCTAAGAAACACAGATGCATTAATCAATAACAATAATCCACAGCTCCTCTCTCTGCTCCAGAGGATTAAAAAAATATGATAATAATAATAATAATAATTGTGTAGCAGAGTTTTCTCCATTTGCAGGTAATTACTGGGACTATGAACTGGATAGTGCTGATGTTTAAAACTCAGTTACTGGGGGCTCTTTTTTATAATTGCTTCCAGTTTATAATCGTAACGAGATCAAAAAGTTGAGATTCATTTTTCAATAAATGATGCGCTTCCACAAACAAAATAATTATTACATTCAAAGAAACTACTTGTAGTAGATAAAGTACATTATTCAAAAGTTTACATTAACTTTGAATAATAACACGGGAGAAACGGATCCTCTTTTTTCCCCTCTCCCTCCCTCTCTCCTGACAGCCCGTCAGTTTCTCATGCAGCTCGCTAAACAAAGGGCGGAGCTTCAGGTGATCCTGCAGAGCTGCGTGTCTCTGTCAGACCCAGCAGCTGATCTGATCTCTCTCTCTCTCTCGTCCGGTTATACTTCATTCGCGTTTATGTCCATATCGATTAGATGCAGCTCTCCTGATCGGCCTTTATAGAGAGCACCGATCAAACTATTAAGAGTGAATATCGGCCGATAATAACCAGCGGCCAATCGATCGGAGCATTCCCTCTTAATTACACAGACCATTGTTGACCGGCAGGTTTTGAAATTTACCGGTTTTTAAATAAATGTTACCAGCTAAAAAAACGGTTTAATTACCAGCTAACGGAAACCCTGATCTGTGTTATTCAATGTACACTCACTCCCACTTTTCCTTGCAACATTATGCCAGCCATGTTCCACATGCTTAATTAACAGCTCTCCTCTTCTGGTCATCTGGCAGCAATTACAAGTGTGAAGGCAGAGCAGTCTTAGTAGCATCAGCTCATTAATATCATAATATACTTAAGAAAACCACCGTCGTACCTTTGCATATGGCAGTGGTTGAAAGCTACATGGTAATCACTAAGAAGTTATTATGGGTTTACGGCGAATATTGTGTTAGTCCGGATACGTTCTATTGGCCCATTACTGTTGCCGGTCAACTTCCCTTTAATATTGTTATGCAATATTTGTGAATTTTTAGAATGATCTTTATCTTATTTCATAGTAATTGGCAGCAGTAACGTTTTCT